TATATATATATATATTCATATTCATATTCATATTCTAGCTATACAATGTCTTATATTAGCATATGCAGTGGAGATTGAAAAGCAAAGATAAAATGTCTAGTGAGGAATACAAAAAAAACTAGAATAATGTGGCTGCATAAGTGTTATGCATACCCTCTTATAAGTGGGGATGTGGTTGTGTTCAGAATTAAACAATCACATTCAAATGGATGGTTAATAGTAGTCTGTGCATACTTGTCATTAATTTAAGTGACTCTGATCAAGCCCACATAAAGTTCATCAGCTGTGCCGGTAGGATTTTTCTGGTTATTTACTCAGTTGCTTCTTAGAACAACAGTCATGGTCTGCAAAGAGCTTTCAGACAATCAAAGGGATCTCACTCTTTGAAAGTATCAGTCAGGAGAAGCAATTTCCAAGCAATGGAACAAAGTAAGAAAGCCATCAACAAGTGGAGAAATATGGCAGATACAGGTTGTATATTATGTGTGACAATAATCTCCTGTATTGATCATATCTCGGCTGTGAGCAACGCACACACACACACATACACCCCTAATTGAATACTGATTAATACATTACTATGAAATTAGTTCTCCCCCCATGCGAAACAGCCCCTTCTCAAATTTTTTAAACTATAAATCTATTTTTAAATTATTGATCTGTCTTTAGTATATTATATCCAATCCTGGTTTCATTTTGCAAAAATGCACAACAAATCTGACAAAAGCATATGGGAAAATATGGTCTGATGAGACTGAAGTTGAACTTTTTCATCATAATTCCCAAAAGTATGTTTGGGGCAAAAATAATGCTATGAACCCACTATGAAGCATGGTGATGGCAGCATTATTTAGGGCCACATTTCTTCAGTTGGAAATGGAGCTTTAATTAAGATGGAGCAAATTATGGTCAATTCCAAATATCAGTCAATTTTGGCAAAAATCTTCAAGCCTCTGCTAAAATGAAGATGAAGAGGAATTTCACTTTTCATCACAACAATTTCACCAGAAGATCAAAATTCCAGAATAGCCCAGCAAGACTCCAGACCTGAATCCAATGGAAAATCTGTGGGTGATCTGAAGAAATCTGAGTCTAGAAGGTGCCTTTGCAATCTGACAGTTTTGAAGCACTTTTGCAAGAAAGTAAGGGCAAAGATTCCCAAAGCAAGATGTGCCATGCTATGATAGGCTCCTTCCCCAAAAATCTGATTGTGTCATACAATGAAAAGATGCTTCAGCAAAGTATTAGTTTAAGAGTATACATACTTATGCAATCTCATTATTGTAAGCTTTTTATTGTTAATTTTTTTTCTCTCAGATTGTTTCAGTTTGTTTTTTAATTGAATTGCATAGTTTATATGATATATTAAAGGTGGAAAGAATTATAAAGTGATTCACCTTGGTTTGATATTTTTTATAGGTCAAAAACCTATAACTTATAAAACCTATAAAAAAGATCATTCCTGGCATTTTATCAGGGAATGTAGACTTTCTACATCCACTGTACTTCCTTTTATTTCTTAACTTTAAATGCTGCATTGATTTACTGGAATTAATTGATCTTAAGTTGCTTAACCTGTTAACACTTTGGAAAGAGATATTATTTTAATTGATATTCTGCCATCAATTTACTGTCAACTCTCAGTGTCCACACAGATATATTTTCTCCATAATGATCTATTCGTAATGTGGTTCTTCAGGTATTCCAAGGGAGCACCCACTGTTGCTGTAACTGAGTCCATCGACCTGGCTGATGTTCATCCTCTACTTATCTTTCCTTCCACATTTCCCAGCATAAGAGTCTTCTCTAGACAACTGTGCTGTGGGCTGATGAGATTGAGGTTGAACTTTTTCATCATAATTTAAAAAAAAAAAGATTTTGGATTTGCACAGGTCTTTGCATAATGTGTTCAAAATAGAGCAATTTGAGCCGGGTCATTTGTGCTTTGATTGAGAACTCTGATTTGTTTGACTTAACTGTGATTCCACAGAAATCTAAGAGTTGTGGAATTTATGTAGCTAGGAGGTAATGAAATGAATAGGGAATAGATATACTGGATGAGATATTTTAACACTCCTTTTTGAATAATCTGTTTTCTGTCTTTAGCATTTTATTTTTGTTTCATTTTCATTTTTCAAGTGTGAAGATGACGGACAGATATTTTTCAGTCTAGATGATGGCAGCACCAAATTCACTGACCTAATACAACTTGTTGAATTCTATCAATTAAACAAGGGAGTTTTGCCTTGTAAACTCAAACATCATTGCATCCGGGTGGCCTTGTGACCTCTGTACCAGTCCATGCTGATAACTGATTTGTTTCAAGACTGGAGATGGAAGAAAAGTTTTGTTGAAGAAAGTTGACCTTGGGACATTAAGCCAACTTGTAATTGCTTTTGAGGAACAAAATGTATCATCAAAATTAGGGGACTTGGAAAGGGATGCTTGAGCTGGTGCCAACAGTCCAAGATTTGTTTTTTTTAATCATCTAAATCCTATGCCTGATTCTGCTGAGTGTCCCAGCAACTGCCCCCCCCCCCCCAAAAAAACCTTGGGGAAAAATATGTAAAAACACTAAACAAAACTGGAAATTGTCCCTTGACTTGCCACATAATAGAGTCTAGCTTGTGAAGCAAAATTAGTGAAATGAACTCTTGCCCTGGATAAATCTTGACAATTTAAAACTGAGTATTTTCTTTCTTTTATTGTTTGCTTTCTTTATATTCCTCCTTCCTTCTTTCTCTTTCAATTTTTTTGCACTCCTTTTGAAAATTATATTAGATGATACAGTTTTTAAATTGATGCCTGATTTGGGTGTTCTAAATCATATATTGAGTAATTTGTTTCAGCCTTATTATAATCTAAAAACAAAAAATAGCTTCTCCCTTTTGAAATTAAGTGCTCCACCATTTGTGTTGAAGAAGCAACATGGAGAACAATTCTGGGAAGGAAAAAATAACCCACTAGTGTATGCTTTATAATATAATGACTGTGTGTCTGAAAGAGGATTCTACTTCTATGCACAGATGATTTGAAATGTTTCAGTTGTCCCGCTCCTTCCCAATCTGCTGGAGATCCTCTTTTTGCACAGATGCCATGGGAAAATCCACTGTCAGTAGCCAGTTTAGCATTGAATGATTATTTTAGTATTTGGTATCATCTGGCTTTTTTTCTTTTTATGTTTTGATTGGGAGTGAATTGATTGTCATTTATGTAGTATATTTGGTATAAAACAAATCAGTGTTTTCTATTTTTAGCATTATTTCCTTCACTCTTCAGAATGTATGATATAGCTCCATTGCACACATATTAACACTGCCTAGTCTTCTAACCATGGTTAGGAATTCAAGAGTGCTCTGTAAGTCTGCATGTTCCTTCCAATTATTTTTTCTCTGAATGTGTATTTTCTAATAACCGAAGCACAGTTCTGATTTTATGTTTCTTAGCTTAATGAAAATACTATTGTTGGAGTTGCACAAATTATCAATAGAATCAAAAGTGAAAGCAAAGAAGGAGGGTTCGTGTAGCATTCTCTATCTTCTAATTATAACTAGATATTGAGTCCTCCAGCAGCATGAATATACTTTTCCTAAATGATGACATGATAAATATGATTTTCAGTAAAGTAAATGTGAGAAATGCAGTCTGATTACATGCTGCTGGACTGTGAGCTTGGTCAAAACTGTGGAAATCATCCCTCAAGCACTGCTTCACATTATCTCCATCTATTTCAGTCTAGCTGTAAAAGAGAGAAATACAGTGTAGCAGTATAATAACTGGATAAATCATTTTCATTTGGAAATTATATGCTCAGCGGTCTCTGCCACAGAAAGAAATGCCATTGACAGTTCAGACAATTGACTTTTTTTAGGATTTATGCTCTAAAATTTACATGCCAGTATCCGTAACAATTAGAGAAACCTTACTTCAAATCCTAGTTCATCACCTACTATGAGTTCTGGTTTAGGCTTCCTAAAACCATATACTTAGAATGTTAATTTGTACATAGCTATGCAGAACAAATAATGCTTTATTTCTCTTGAAAGGCACAGCTTTCTAGCTGTAAATGTGGCAAATAAAATTAAATGCCACAAAAGTGAGATACCTGTCAATGTAATGATATTAGCTCATGTTTTCTAATTCTGCATAACTGTGCGCATGGAGATATACCATGTGAGAATTTAATAACAATGGAATCAAGGCTATGCTTGTTAATATTTCAGCTTTTCATGTTTACATAGCAACACTTCTTTCATTGATAGCTTGCACTTAAATAAGGTCCATGATTATGATTATCGTCTTTTGGGGATGCTGGTTAAGTGCATATAGGAAGTGCTTCATGTTTTATGTATCAAGAAATATGTTCCAGCCTATGAATGTTCAGAATTACTTGCGAGTGAAATATCTTCTCTCTTGCTCCAGGAATCTTGAACCTTTATATTGATTAATATTAATTATTGCATGTGATTAATAGCAATCTGAACAGTTGAAATTGTGTACAGTTATTTATTCACAAGGTAATCATATACTGTTAAGAGTAGCTTAAAACAATATAACCAGCTTGATTTTCCATAGCAGATGAAAAAACACTGTATTTTAGTTTACAGAACAAATCTAATAGGGGTTTTCCTATGAAATTTCTATATATACAATGAAGAAACTTGATTTTTGTTAGAAATATTTTGATTATTATGTTTTACATATTTTGTAAACATATATAAAGTAATATGAGTTGACTTGTAAAATGGATTTAAACATTTTTTTTCAAAATACTGATTTTCAAATATAAGTGAAGTTGTTTGAGTTTATTAGAAATTAAGTTATTTTTCAGTACCTTGGCTCCAATTGTTCAATTTCCCAGACATAGTTTCATGTTATAAAAATTGCATGTAATTAAATTTGACAATTTAAGTTCTTACTATAAATTTGAATGAAGAGGGCAAACTGTTTTGTACTATCTTTAGAATTACTTGAGCATGTAATTATTGCATTTCTTCCCTTTGTTGGAAATGTACAATCTAACCCATCTTAAAATTACTAACAGATACAGCTATCTGACAACTTAGGAAATAAGGGGTGAAGGAAATTTGATTTTTTTAAAAAAAAATATTTAAATGACATGAATGTAAAGAGGAATGCTCAGGGTTGTTTCTGGAGCCTGTTGATTTTATTTTATTTTTGGCTGTGATTGTTTTGTAAATAAAATATGTCATATAGCATCTTGTAATATGTTAAGAAGGAAAATGCCAACCCATTTGGTAATTTTTTTTAAAAAAAATAGATAAATTATTTTCTGTTTTTAAAAAAAGTACAGCTTTTTATTTGTTGAATTGATCTTGAAGAAAAATGTGCCTCTATTTTTAGATTTTGTCTTAACTTTTCTGCACTAAGTACCTGACCATTTTGACCAATCAATGCACCTTTCCAGTGGCAAGACTTGCTTAGCATAAACTATATTATCATACCACAAGATTTTATTGTGACTGTAAAATGAAATAAAAGTTATCAGGGAATGCAAAAATTATTAACTTAAGGGACACAACCTCTTATTCAATATGCATTGCTTCATATTGTAAATAGCTTTCCTTTTTTTTTTTTTAACTAGTGAACTTAATTGTTATCTTTCAGGTATTTTTGTACAAAACGGGATTTCTTACACTTAAATGTTTAGAAATAAACATTCAAACAATGGTATTCATTTTATACTGTTGGTCAAGTTTCATTTTGTTTTCTCAAAGGGGCAAATCTACCCAATGCAATACCAGAGTTGTAGGCAATTGTACTGCCTATGGAATATTTTTCAATTAACTGGAGCATATTAGAAATTTACCTGAACGTTATATGTATATATTCATTTTATTTTTTTAATTAAAAGGGTTAAGCTACTGCCATTAAAAGATACAGAATGTATAAGAAACTATCAACTTAATATTCACATTATGCAACTTTAAATGAACAATGCATTTTGATCAAGATGTAATAAACACTCAAGTATTTCATGCAAATACTTATTCATTATTAAGGCCTGCCGAGCCAAAAACAAGTATTTTATCATATGTGGAGAAATAAATAGGGAATCTTTGTTACAAGAAGAGAATCGGTATTATACTCTTAGAGTATTCTTGCTACCATATTTGGATTGTTTGAAATTTAGAACGAAATAGAATAACAGAGTTGGAAGAGCTTGGAGGTTTTCTAGTCCACCTCCTATAACATTTCAGACAAATAGTTGTCCAAACTCTTCTTAAAAGCTTCCAGTGTTGGAGCATTCACAACTTTTGGAGACAAGTTTGTTCTAGGTTGCTTCTCTCCTTGACCAGTTTCCACCCATTGCTTCTTGTTCTGCCTTCAGGTGCTTTGGAGAATAGTTTGACTCCCTCTTAATTGTGGCAACTCTTGAGATATCGAAACACTGCTATCATGTCACCTCTAGTCCTTCTTTTCATTCTGACATACCCAATTCCAGCAACCGTTCTTTATAGGTTTTATCTTCCAGTCCACTAATCATCTTAAGGTAGTTTCATATTGAGTGTTTATAGCAATTTAGTTCAGATATAATCACTAGGTGTATTTTTATAATCCCAATTACGGGTAGTTCTTCACTTACAATCATTTGTTTAGCGACCATTCAAAGATTAAACTGCACTGAAGAAAGTGACTTATGACCATTTTTCATATGACTGTTGTAGTCACATGACCAAAATTTGGATATTTGGCAACTGGTATGTATTTATAACAGTTGCAGTGCTTCAATGTATCGTGTTCACCTTTTGTGACCTTCTGACAAGGTCAATGAGGGAGCCAGATTCATTTAACAACATGTTAATAACTTAACAATAAAATGCTTTACTTATTATTATTGCAAGAAAGGTAGTATGTAAAATGGGGCAAAACTCAGATAACAACCATCTTGTTTGGCAGTGGAAATTTTGGACTCAGTTATTGTAAGTTGAGGAGTACCTATATATAATCTTAAAAGTATTGATTTTTTATATTTGTGATAGCACCTTGAATTTTAATTTTATTAATTATTCCTGCAGTATGTAGATTAGATCATTGACACAAATAATAGTTTTAATTTTAACATTGAATGTAAATTTGTTGGTAAGCGAAAAAATTATGATGATGATACAGCTACCAAGACAAGATCGGTTCTCCAGAGAAGATGAAAACTAGTGAGTCAATTAAAGATGGAAACATGTATTCTTGACCACCAATGATACCTGCATTGCGGTCCAGGAAAATCTCTAACTCCTTCATGAAAGATTAAGAAATGAATGTATTATTTGTCTCCATTGGATTGAAGTTTACCTTGTTAGCATTCACCAATTCCCAATAAGCCTTCACATTACCAGCCCAAAATTTATTCAATCATATTAGATAAAAGATGAGGAAACAATATGTCCTTTGCATACTGATAAATTACAATATAAACTGTCTGATAAGTTCTCCTAAATGTCAAGAGCAGTCATCCCTGGTATCCATCTTTTGGAATTGTTAGCACTTTCCTCTGAAAATAACAAAATAGCAACAATATTTGGAGTAACAAAGCTACATATTTTAGAAGAAACCATTTAGAAGCATACCATGATCAATCAATTTAAAAAAACTAGAAAAAGGGGAATGAAAGGTTTTACCTTTTCTTGGCAGAATTTACAAGTTGAGAAACAGAAAAGATTTGAGAACTTCAGTGTGCCAAATATTTTGTCAGTCTTCTCAGATTGCAGAAGATGAAAGTCCAATGTAATACTGGATGATGCCATAGTGGTGTCTATCAGGGCTATGGAAATCTTTGAAGGGATATTTTGCTTCAATAAAGTTTCATGCAAAGGGCTCCATCATAGATGCTTTGTTAGGCAACATCGCCATTCTGAAAGGCTGTTAATACTTGCATGGTGGGCATGCTACTCATCAAAAATGTTGATGAAATCTGTTGATGCCATGCTGGTTGTTTGTTCTGACAAGGCTCATTAAATGTGACACTGCTTTCTCCAGCATGCCCTCAACAAAATCTGAAGAGAGTCCTACTGAAACAGAGTCACTCCATAATAGCCTCATCTGACTTTCAACCAAAAGATAGAAGATCAGGACAAGTTTCAAGGCAATGTAAATGTTTTTTTTTTCTTCAAATAAATTGCAGGGCCTATTTGGTATAATTTACCAAATTATATGTTCAGGATAGCACATATAAGAATGCTACTCCAAAAACTCAAAATAGTACTTTCTTCAGTGGGTCTCTCTCAAAAATTTTCCCATTTGTTAAAGGGAACATCTTGGCTACTCACGCTTTCCAGTATCTATGTATTAAACAATGTGTATTTATATGTACATTGAAGAAAATTTAGCTACATGCCAATGTAAGTGCACTGAGCAACTCTTGAGTTATGCCCAGGATCTCTCTGTCTGCATTGAGGAGCTCATGTATGTATATTGATATGTGTAATATGAATAAATTTTTTTCAATATTCCTATAATCTATATTGGACTTTCTGTTTTAGCTGATATGTTCTAGAAAAATGAAACAATATCATGGCATTATTCTTAACGTGTTTTAAAATGGAAGAAATATAACTGTTTTCTCAATAATTAATTTTAGGACAGGAGGTTACATATGAAACAATCCTAACTCTGAATTCACTATAGTATTCCCAAGAGAAAAGCCTATGTGAAATAATTTAATCTTTCAATTTATTGCCATCATAAGTGTTAATTGCTACAATTTAGCAGTGGAGGTTACATTGTTCTGCATATGCATGTTGGACAGAATCTGACATGAATAGAGCACATGCACGCACACACACACACTTTTATCTCCCCCACCCCAGCACTGCTGTGCTGCCTCATTGTGGTGGAGATTGTCCCTGGGAGGAATATATTTTGGGGACAGACAAAAAAAGGCTTCCATGCCTGGAAAAGACAGGAAAGTGACCTTAGAATAGCACTCACTTAATAAGCAGGTAGAATGACAAATAGAAGAAGCCTAGAAATTCTTAATTTTACTTACATCTCACTTTATGTGGTCTAGAAATTATGAGGGGGTGAAGGTTCAGTGTTTGACCCATTTCCAATTATTCTGGAATTTAGTATCTTTCCCCCCCTCTCAATAATTGGATAGATGCTTAATCCTAAACAACACTCTTTTAATCACTTTTTATTGACATTTGTTATAACATAAAATACAATGAAATGAAAATAAATGTTAAGGTGTGTGTGGGGAGTGCAGGATTAAAAAAGAAAAAGCTATTGATTTCCAAATCATGTATATAAGTACACACTATTCAATATTTAACTAAACTCTACATTTCATTTTGTTTATTTCTAGCACAAAAGCCAGAAGCAATTTCCCAATAGAAACAGGACCAAATGACATCTTTATTTATAATAAAGGCATTTTTAAACAAAAAGTATAACAGATTAAACAGGCTAAAAGAGACTCTTCAGGTAGTAGAGATAGTAAAGTGTTTTAAGAAATGGAAGACCTGATATTAATATCTTCGAAGATAAAAAACAAATGATTGAATCCCTGCCTCTCAATTGGATGCTTGAGGCAACTGCATGTAGGCATCACATACCTATCTTGTGACGGGGTTGAAAGATAGCGGTAGACCGGCTGATGAGCATACCTCCCAAATCCCAACAGCACATTGTATGGAGGTGTGCATTCTGCATGGTGATTGGTTGATCAGATTTCTTGCTCTCTCTTTTGCTGTTTGAATGCCCCCAGTTGGAATGTTACATTTGCAGAAATACAAATGGAACATCTATCTGTCCTTGAATAACAAGGTCCATATATTCCCTGACATCAGGGGTGGGTTCCAGATTCTTTCACTGCCAGTTCACTCAATGCTTTGGCCATGCTTTGGCCATGCACTTGATGCACGCTATGTGTGCCTGATGCATGGTGTGCACTTGATGCGCACCATGCGTGCATGCATAGTAGTTAAAAATGGCTTTGCGCATGCTCAGAAACAAAAAACAAGATGGCACTGCCATAGGCACAGCCAATAGAATTGTTTCGGATGTGTGAACAGTAGAGATACTACCTACTTGGCTGAACCTGTCCAAACTGGTAGGAACCCAACTCTGCCTCACATGCAATGCCAAAGAAGTCTGCTTAACCCTTCACCTGACAACTTCAGAGCACTATTCTAAGGGAGAACAAACCAGGCTCAGTTTATCCCATGCTTACGTTTCATGGGGGCGCCAAGAGACTACAGTACAGCAAAAGATGGCTCTGATAGTTGATGCAACAGCTTTAGCATTTAAGAATAGAGGCTAGTTGTTTTTCTATTAATACATAATCCTTAAAGGGGCTCTCCTGTACAGATTCTGCAATGGTATAATCCAGACTGGAAATATAGCAAAGGAAACTATAGCAAAGGAAACTATTTTTCCCTATTTGCTTTGTCCTATTTTCCCCACTGGAAATAGCTGTTTGCAACACACAAGGAGGGGATACTTTCCTAAGAGCTCCCAGTTCAAGAATACTAATGTGCACATGAGGTATCTCAAGGTTGGGAAGGACATGGGGGTGGGGGGGACTAGTGATAGAACAGACCAGAGGTGGGTTGCTCCAGGATTGGGCAAAGTGGGAATAGAGACTCTCGCTGTCTCCACCCACCTGCCCAGATGCTTATGCACATGCCCAAAAGAACCGATAGTAAAAAAAATTGAAAACCCACCACTGGAACAGGCCCTCAAGGCCTCCCCAACCCACTAAGATACCTCATACTTCTTCCTCCCTTCCTGCCACAAGGACTCACCTTGCAAACATCTGTCTCCTCTCTTGTTTCTCTGTTTCTCTGCCTTTGAGGAAGGGAAAGGAGAGTTGGCCTGGAAATGCTTTTCGTGCTGAGAATGGACACTCCTGGTGCTATAAGATCATGCGGATTCAGGCACCCATCCTCTTTTGCAGAGACTCAGGGTCCCATAAACTTTTATTCTAGGTGTGAAAAGTATTTGGTGGTGGTCTGCTCCTCCCCTCTCCCACAGCTACTTTCCACTTACCTACTTAATGAGGTCCATATATTCCATGGAGCAAGCTTGAATGAAAATGAGAGGGACACACACACAACACACAATCCAATTGTGTATAAGTGTGTGTGTGTATTGGGGAGAGAGTGATCTATACTTCAGCCAGGGGCACCCAAACTGCTGGCAATGGTGTGACCAACATCTGAGCAGTGAGACAGCAGGAGGGAGGTTGAGTACGAAGCAAGATGAGGTTGCAGAGCTCCCCCCCTCGGCTTACCTGAGCAACCTGCCAGCCAGGAACTGAAGCATTGCAACTACTGCCACAGTGAGACAGAAGAGGGGGGGGGGTCTCCAAACTCTCTGTGTATGTGTGTGTGTGAGAGAGAGAGAGTGCAAGTGTACAATCCCTGCTTTAGTCAAGGCACTCAAGCTGTTGGCAATGGCGGCCAGGTGTGTGTGTGTGGAGAGCCAACTGAGCAGCCATTTTTCTCCTTGTCCTACAGTCAAGCAGGCCCTGCATGACAGCAGGGTGTCTTATTTCTCCCCTAGCATGGCGAACTCCAACTTCAGTCAGAGCATTTAAGCTGCTGGCAGCAGCAGCCACCTAAGCACCAGGATTGCCCCCCCCCCCCAACCAGCTAGCCAGCCCTGCCTGACCTGCTCCCTGCTGGTTGGTGCAAAGCCTCACCATTCTTCTCCTCGTCTTCATTGTTGTCTTTGCCAAAGCACTAGTGGGCTCCACAGGATAAGGTCTCATTCCTGCCCTAGCGCAGTGAACTCCAGTGGGCTGGATGTGAATGTGAAGGATTGCTTCCTTGCTTAGTTGAAGGCTTCATTTAGCCTTCAAACAGTAAGGCTGGCACATGCAAGTAAGCAGTGCAGCAGGGCCACAGGGCAACAGGAAAAGGGGGTTGGCCCCACTGAACCTCGCACACCCCACATGTCTTTGCTGCACTTTGGCCAAGCCCAGACACTCACTTGAGTATCCCTGCTTGTGCGCACCCTTCTGGCCCTGCAACAGCCAGCCAGAGGGTTGCATGAGGAGGAGGAGGAGGAAGGTGCTGCAACAATTTGTGCTCGCTCATCAGCTGCGGGCCTGTCCCCCTTTCTATCGTACCTTCCTCCCAGATCCCGTTTCTACCCTGCCAGCCCTCATGTTCACTAGGTTGGCATCAGCCATGGCCAGGTTGGGCCAATGTCTCAGGGCGCAGCAACACATGCCCACAGAGAGGGCTCTGTGTGCCACTTCTGGCACTCATGCCATAGGTTAGCCATCATGGCTCTACATATTAAGGTTCTTGAGCAAAGGAGGACATTATGAATTAAGCTGAGATGAATAATGACAGAAGTATTTACAAATTGTGAATAACATCCCACATTCCATATCAAATCATTTTGCATATTGTAATTGAAAAGCAGGATAAAAATAAAGAGAAATTGCATGAGCAAGTTGGTAGGATAGCAAAACTGAAGTTCAAGTTAACTGGATGATTAAGAATTTTTGAGGAGATAATTATGGACATCGGTTCTGCATCTTCATCTTTTTAATTGTAAATTATTATAACTATTTTTCTAATATTTTATTGCCTTTCAATGTTAGCTAGCCGACCTCTAGGCAGGATAGTTGGCAAACAAAGTCTAAGAAATAAATAAATAAATCTTCCAACGAAAGTTTATTTTTAAGCTTATTTTACTTAATTCCATTGCAGTCAGCACAAGAGAATTTATATTCAAATTTCCAAAGCTGATAGTTTAGGATAATTTTTAAAAGTGCTTACAAACAAAAAAATAGTAGAAATACAATTTGTGTCACAGAAAGTTAATGATTGTTATGTTCATTATGGGTTAGATGTTATAAAACAGAATGACCTTTCTTCTGATTAGAGCTCTTAGAGACTTTGAAGTTTGTTACTGAAAAAAATTATACAGTACTATCCCGTTTAGCTAGAACACTTGAGCATTATAGGAAAATAGTAAGTAGAATTTAAGCTTATTTCTGTACTGAGATCTGAGTATTCTCAATTAACCTTTGTAGTATTTTTTTCTGAAAATTTTAATACTACATTAAAACAGATATTGAATGTTGTACTCTGTTTTCAAAACTGTCATGGATGAAGTTTTATTAATTTTTATAACCATATGTTGTTTTTTAAAATTGTAAATTTGCTTTATAATAATTATGATATGAGTACCCATATTAATTGATTTTTGCAGTTGCAGCTGTTATACAAAAAGATATTGCATTTTTAAAAAGAGGGAGACATTCCAAATGTCCAAGCATTTTGCATTGCTTTCTTATATTTTAAATGTATTTTTTATTTATTAGAGTTTTGCACTGCCTGTTACATCTAAGAGGTTCTGGGCAATTCATAATAAAAACATAAAAAGAGGTATAAAAGCATAAATACAACAAAGTTAACACAAAGAATTAAGAACAAAGTTAAAATTGAGAAATTGCAAGTTAAAACAGGCAAAGAGAGCACCCTCGCATCACAATTCACCCCCAGGGTTGCCTAACACTCTTCTACCTGTGACAATTGGCAAAGTCAGGTTTTAACACTCTTTCAGAAAGTTAGAAAAGTGGGGTTCACCTCAACTCTAGGAATAGGATGTTCTAAAGGACAGGAGAGATGGCAGAGAGGGATCTATATATGGAGATAAATTCATTTTTATCTAATTAAATTAAATTAATAAAATGTAACAAAAATAAAAATATACAGTACATATTGTAAATATATGTAAAGATATATAGAAGTAGAATATAAGTTAAGCCTTCCCTTTTATTATTCAGAATTCTGTATATTAAATTAGCCAAGGGAGCAAAATACTGGATTCATGTTTGACACCTCCCAGGGCAATGTCCCATGTTTGCTTAACTGCAAATGAACAACCAAGAATAAACATGGGCAGCTGAGAGAAGCAGCACTAGCCATTGATACTGCCTCAAGAAATGTGTAGAATCACATTTTTTAAAGTTTTGATAAACAGTAGGGCAGAGAAAGTGTGGAAAAAGTTGATCAACGTTAATGCTAAGGAAGATACTGCACCGTCAGACTGTAGATCATGAAAATTAAAGACACAAGGACCTGCTTCAGTGTTTGACTTTCTGAATTATAACTTTTATTTTTCCAATCTGATGGAATGTTGGGAATAAATTATGCAAGGGACTTAGAATTCTGACCTTCTGTTCATCAGCAGGATAATGCTACAAAAGTAGCACAGCACAGTACCAGATGTGATATGCCAGAAAAACTTGTAAAATAATATTTGAGTTCTAAAATGGAGCTGGAAGCTGCACATGATTCACATGCACCCACACATAGAGAGACAAACACAGAGAAGGGGAGCAATCCCCCATGTATTTACAAAGCAATTAGCAGTTGGAATACTGGCAATTCTTATATTCTTAAGCCCCACCTTTCTTCTGCCACAGAACCCAGAGCTGAACTGCTATTAAGGAGCTGGAATGATTCCAGGACTGCATGCTTCCCTACATTCTTCTTCTTCCCAGCTCTAAAGATTATTGAAAAAATACATTAAGGGGCAAAAATTGAACAAATCAAATACATCCACTTATAATCCTCATGATATGGTTGAATCTGGCATCTAACTTGCTTCTTTCACAGCTGTTTCAGGGGTACAGTATTCTGCTGTGGAATAAATTAACCCTAGATGATCTAAGGTGGCAGCTGAAGTTCCCCATTTATTTCCACATAATTTCTGAAGTATGTTGTTGATTTTTGCAACTGTATTATCTAGGTGTTTCTTGTGGGAGACAGTTTAATTCAACGTTATTCCAAGGTACATTGGATGGGGATCATAGGGGACTAAGTTGTTGTTTAAATAGATCTTCAATGCTTCATAAGCTAGTTTGCTGTTAAGGTGAAAGCACATAGTTACTGTTTTGCTGGTTCTAGGAGTGAGTCTCCAGGCAGTGAAGAATTTCCCCAAGATTTCAAGGTCTTTGGATAGGAGTCTGTCACCAAGGCTGTGAAGTTAGTTCACCCCCTCATGGTGCATCCTGGGGAGCATGACAGTGTGAACTAAATGTCCTAGCAACTGCTGGCAGCCAGACTATTCTGTAGACTTTCCTGGCTTTCAAAATAGATGGAAACAAAAGCCCCTGCACTCAATTAGATGGTGACAAGGTCCAAAAGGCAAATGGGCATTAACTGCTTTTGAAAGTGGTGGCAAATAAGGGAAGCACAGTGGTTGCTAACTTAACCACTGCAGTGATTCATTTAACAACTCTGGCAAGAAAAAAGTTGTCAAATGGGACAAATACACTGTTTTGCTTAGCAACAGAAATGTTGGGCTCCATTCTGGTTGTAAGTCGAAGACTACCTGTTTTGCTAATTTGTTCACTGTTGGATATTCATGCTTTAAATGTTAATCAATGAGCCGTGGTAGCGAAGTGGTCAGAATGGAGTACTGCAGGCCACTTCTGCTGACTGCCGGCTGTCTGCAGTATTCTTACCCCATCAAAATGGCAGGCAGTTTCACAGATCAGCCAAGGAAGATGAGGCTTCACTGTGGGTCTCTTTAAGATTGTAAAGGAAGTGATAATGGCCTATATTATATGTAAAATAAGAAGGACCAAATGCCTGCTGGCTAGGCAGTGCTGACAGGAAACCACCAGTGTCAAGGGAGTGCTCTTTGTTCCTGGAAATAAGTCCTTGAAGGCATACCAGAGAGGGGACATGCTGCAGTTTCTCTTGTGGTCTTCTGCTCCCGTTGTTCTCCCTTCCCCAACAAAGTGCCAGGCAGAGCTGCAAGTAGTAGTAGAGGGGATTTCACTGGCTGTCTCCTGAGAGTCATGAGGTGAGAGACATGCAAGCCTATATTATATGTGGAAATGGCTCATCAGATTATGAATTATTTAGTTATGAACTAAACTCTGGATAATTACTGGATGAGTTGGATTTAAAAACAAAATTAAGCATAAACAACTGATAAAATTGTTGTCTTCACTACAAGAGGAACCAGATTGCCATGACAGCTTTAGTTTGCTAGGATCAGCTACATCATCGGTTGTGCTAGTTGACATGAGCTTCTGAATTACTATCATAGGGAAGCAAAAAGAGAGAGAAAAAAGAAAAAACGTAATTTACTTTATTTCTAAGCAATGACTATTTGAATATTTGGCACTTAAAGAAAGCATAGAATCCTTGAAACAATCCTTTACATTTTTTAATCAAAAAGTTCAAACTAAGAGTCTGTAGTAACACAAAGTTCTGGCAATACTAATAAGAATGAAAAAGGGGACCAACAGGGAAGTTTGGAAATAATTCTTCAGATATAGTAAATATAAAGGACTTTCAAACAAAAAGGATAATGTATTAACTATGCCCAGGAGTGGATTTCAATTTTATTTACTACTGGTTCAGTGGGCGTGGCTAGATGGGGGACTGTGACAGAGTGGGTGTGGCCAACGTGACATCATTCATGCACACTTAGTCACATGGCCCCCTCACCAAGCCATGTCCACCGAAACGGTGGCAAAACGTTTTGAGAGGTGAGCCCCTCCAGCCTCGCTAAGGGAGTGCCTGCAAACTACCCAGTAAGGAAAAAAGGTTTTTGTCCTCCCCATCCCCCATAAGCACTCTGCAGGCTTCAGCAGGCTGGGGAAATGCAAAAATGTCTCCTCTTTTATGAAAAACACTCATTTTTCACAAAAACAGGGTATTTTCCCCTTCCCCGAGCCCTTCTGAACCCTGCAAAGTGCTTCTGGAGGCTGCGGGAAGGCAAAAATGCCTCCATTTTTATGAAAAATGGCCCATCTCTGGGATTGGCATGTGCACACCATTAAAAAAAGGAAAAATACATTTTTAAAATGAAGATTGTTTTGTGTATGTGCAGAACAGAAAATAAAGATGGTGGCATCCGGGATAGAACCAGTCATGTGTCCGGCTGAGTTACTACCTATTCAGCCAAACTGGTAGGAACCCACCTCTGACTATGCCCTTGAAAGAGAATTCCCTAGATAAGGAGATTCAGATAACAGGTCTTTTAAAAAAAAACAAAACACAGCAGATAAACCATCAGAACTTATGAAGAGAACCCAGAAGCATAGTGGCGGAACAGCAGGGGAAATAGCAAGCTCTGAGGAGTCTCGCGAAAACCCAGCCAGTGAACCGTCGTTGGGAGGCTCTTTGGGCCAGAACCATCCTGAAGTGACAGTGAAGAAAGAGAGGCATTTTTGTGACCACAAGGAGCAAGGCAAGCTCCTTGGCAGGTCCGAAACAAAGCTCTCTAGACTGGCAGTGCGGGTGGCAGCCATCTTCAATGACCGCTCTGAAGTTGGGTCAATCCAGATCAAGTTTAGAGCAGGAGCGATGATCAGACAGAATGTGGAGACTGGGCAGAAAGCTGGCTGACCCAAGGGTAAAGAAACATCTTTAATTTGGAACTTAAATTTTTTTTAGTGATCTAAAGCAACGGCTAAGTGGCATTTGGAAACGAAGAGATGGGAAGAGAAGAAGGAAAAAAATGGTGACTGCCCAAGAAGTTTATGGCTAAAATATTTGGATTAAACATCTAAAAAAGGGAGGAACGAAGGATATAGAGAAAGTAGAAAGATATATATTGAATGGATTTAAAATTTTTGACTCTTGACAATATTGACAATTTACTGATTTGACTGATTGCGAGATTGTGAATGCCATCTACTGGAGGGAAGAGGGTATAACAACATCTGGCAATAAATAAATTCCAAACAACCGTATTTCTTTTTTCCTCATTAACCTCTTAATTTTTACCCTGCTGCTTTTGTCAGAATTCATTTAAATGAACATATGTGTTGTTACATGTAATATGTTTGATTCCATGTATGATTTTCTCTGCAAAGGAGGGGTTACTTTTGTCCTAGTTCATTCAACTTTTCTGTTGAATTTTCTTTGACTATAAAAGGGATTGAAAACTGAGAGTTGAAGTTCTCTCTTTGAATGAGAGGAATCCTTTTTAAACAGATCAGTGTCCATCCCATCTCTCCCCACTCCCTAACCAGACTGTGGAGAAGAACTACAATGTTGATCTGGTCCTCGAAGAAATCTAGTTTGACACCCCTGATATGGACTCTCCTGCTTGTGCAGGGAGTTGGACTAGGTGACCTCAAAGGTCCCTTCCAATTGTGTTATTCTATGTTCTAGATGAGCATTAACAGGATCATGGTAAGCATGTGGAATTGTATATATGGAAAAGCAGTGGGCAGGTACAAAAATGTCAGTGATGTGTCAAATTACTGTAATGAATGAATAAATTCATTTTTTTCTCAATTAAAAACATAAAAATCCTGGTGCCTGAAAGCAAATTGTGTTGTGACTTCTTTTTATTTATGTGTATAAATAAATAATACTTTTTAAGCTCACCTTTCTGACTCTGAGTCTACTGGAAGGCAATAAACCACCAGCTTTTCTGGTTAACAAAATTTAATGCTTGATTTAAAAATAGTTCATTATTTTTACTTTGAAGGCTTCTGATTTGAAAAGGTCATATTAGCTAACTTACAAAGCAGATTTTATTGTTGCTTAGAGAATGTAATCCCTCCTAATCTGATTTCTAAAGAAATGTTAATATGTTATTTCTGCTTTAAAAAAGAAAGGGAAAAATAATGATTAAATATATGTTTTTCATTTCTTTTAATGCACAATACTTCCCATATTTGTAGCTCAGAAATGTTTATGCAATGTTTGCAGTTAACAGAATGGCCTATAGGAGGAGCAGTTATTCTGCCATATCAAGGTCTTATAAGTCAAGTTTTCAAGGGCCTGAGTGTTTATCAGATCTCTGGTTTCTTCTCATAACAATGTAAATAGTGCTATATTTATTATTTATTTTATTTTTTAAATACAACTATTGATATAATGGCAATATGCACAGTAGCCACATAGCTAATGATTATTGTTTAAATCCAAATATAGTGATTCAATAAATATTGGGACATAATTAGATAGTAGAATGACTAGATTAATTTTTTAGTTCTTTTAAAAATTATGATATGTTTAATTGTAAATTATAAAACAAATGCCAATATTTTGTAGATCAACAAAAGTTTAGTAGGAGTTTATTCTAGATCTCTATTTTTCCCTAAAGGAAGTAACAGGCTATAGAGAGAAAGCAGAATTGCTTAACTCATTCTTTGCATTGGGCTTTGTGCAAAAAGAAACTATAGCCCAACCTACCAAAAACATAACTGTAAAAGACAGTTTTAGAATTAAAAATTAAAATAAGGAAGAAAATAGTAAGAGAACAACTGTTTGATCTTGATGAATATAAATCACTGGGCCTTTACATATTATATCCCAGAGTTCTGAAGGACCTGGCATATGTTATCTCAGAACCATTGTTCCATATCTTTCAATAATACAGTGCAATAAAAATTATTCTGCACATGTGCAGAAGTGAAAAACAAGATGGTAGTGCCTACAGCGCCACCTGGAGAACCAGTTCAGGTGTGTGGCAGGCCTGGATCACTGTCAGTTCAAGCGACCCAGGCCGCCAAACCACTGCTAGTTTGGTCAAACCGGTCCGAACTCGTAGGAACCCACCATTGATTTGGTTCCCACCTTCAAAAAAAGGGAAGGGGAAACAGACCCAGGAAGCTTCAGAACAATCAGCCTAACAATATAAATACCTTTGAAGATACCGGAAAAGATAATTTAAAAAAACAGATCTGCAAACATCTGGAAATGAATAAATTTATAACTGGAAACCAGTATATTATGCAACAGGTCAACTTATAATTATACAAGACAATTTTGGCCAAATTCTTAAAATTGGGTTCAGTTCTGCTGTAAAGGATTCTGAGAGAGAACTAGCTGGAAAATAAACATATTGTTTAAAAGAGGATATCTGAAACATATTTAATAAAGAGGCATAGTCACTCTCACCCAATATTCCTATAGTTTCAACTCCCTCTATCATTTCTTCTCTGTTAGTAAGAATTAAGTCCAGTATGGCTGTCCCTCTAATTCTATCCTCTATCTTTTGGATGACAAAGTTGTCAGCTAAGTTGGTTAGGAATCTATTCAAATTTAAGAATTAATTCTTAAGAATTAGTTAAAGTGGTTCCAATCATCAAAGGGGGGGGGCAGATCCAGGAAACTACAGACCAATCAGACTAACCTGAATACCTGAGAAGATACTGTAAATAATAATAATAATAAAAAAAACAGATTTGTGAACATCTAGAAACAAATAAAGGCATAACTAGAAGCCAGCACAGATTTGTTAAAACAGATAATGCCAAACCAATCTTATTTTATTCTTCAACAAAGTGACTAAATTAGTAGATCAGCAAAATGCTGTGGACAGTATATTTAGACGTCAGCAAGGCATTTTACCAAGTAGATCACAACCTACTTCTTGGTAAGCCAAAAAAATGTGTGATAGATTGCATCAGCACTAGATGGATTTGTAACTGCCTGATAAACTCTATTGAAAGAGTGGTCCTTAATGGAACTACATCTACAAGGGGGGAAATAAGCAGTGGGATACCACAAAGTTCTGTCTTAGACCCAGTACTCTTCAACATTTTAATAAATGACTTAGATGAGGAAATAGAAAGGGAACTCATCAAATTTGCTCATGACACTAAACTGGCAGAAATAGCCAACATCCCAGAAGATAAGCTCAGGATCCAAAAATATCTTGACAGACTTGAACAGTGGATCCTGTACAACAACATGAAATTTAATGTGGAAAAAAGTAAGTTTCTCCTCTCCTCCCCCCTCCTCCCCTCCCCTCCCCTCATGAGATTAGTATTTGGTGTGTTCCTGGAACTTAGCCAGTATGTGAATGTATTTATTTGGGAGGATTGCCCTAAGGTGAGAAAGGAAGGGCCTGCATTTGGTTCAGCAAACACATAAAGTATATAGAGTAAAGTAGAAGGCATCCCCCAAAGAAGACAACAGACAAAAAAACCTGAACTTTCTATGGTATTTAAAGCAAGAAGCACAGTATACTTTACAGAAATACCTACATATTGGATGAAGCTCCTTGGTCTTTAAAATATTACAGTCAACTACACAGTCTGGTTAATGGCTTATTTCCAAATTAGTTTGCTTAATATTATGACTATTTTCACTGGAATAGTGATCTGGTAAAAAAACATTTAAAGTGAAAAATCATAAGCATCCTTAAACAATCCATATGGTTTTCCTTCTAAGACTGTTTCCCAGAGATAACTGGAATGCAAAACTGCATAATAATAAAATAATAAAAATCTTGCAATGCACATCTGCAACGTTTGAAGAAAAATTGCATGATCTAACATCTGTTTCTGAGTTTCATTCTGTTTTGCTTCCTTTCTGTTTACAGTTTTTCCATGTGTGTTCAGTGGATTTATAAATGAAACACAGTTTTCATAAAGCTTTGAATAGATACAGCTCTATATTAATCCTGTGTCTACAGATAGGCCTTTGATTGATGTGTTCCCAGCATGATGCTTAGAAAGCTATTCTCCACACGCTCAAATATAACAGTGTGGGATACTAATTGTGCTCAAATATTTTCTTAAATGAATATCTTTGTGCCCATTTAAAACAGTACATTTAGAATCTCCTGCAACAGTGAAAGACAATTGATCAACCACAGATGAATAGTGCATTCAATTTCCCAGCAAATATGAAGGCATATTTATTTGCTTTAGGTTTGGCACAGTGTTTGTGTTGAGTACAAATGAATGGATGAAAAACAGGAGAGAAAGTGTGATGCTCAGAATATTAAACTGCAAAGCATTCTCTGATTGGTTGATGGAAACTACTTACTCTCAATATAAACGGACAAGAGCATCCTCTTCTTATAACTGTCACAAAGAAAGCAGCTGGGGAAACAGAGAAAACAAAATCTCTCAAACAGTAAGTAAAAGTCTTTATCATTTAAACTTAGTTATTGAAATCATCTTAATGTAATTATCCCCGGCTTGGATCTTGATGAAAAACATCTCCCTGATAGCAAAATTTCAGTGAGGATTCAGTTAGTCAGTATACTAATGTTAGCATTTTATTGTTCTGCTTGGGCTTTTTAGTATCTTGTAAGATGTTTGTATTTGAGGAAGAAATAGGTTAATATTTCAAAATATACTGATTTTCTGTACATTACAGAAAAATTGTATAGTAACTGTATAGTACAGAAAAATTAAGCTTTAATATAGTAAAATAGATATGGTGCACCAACATTACGTCTAATAATAACAAATATACTCTTAATCATGCTTTAGCAATACTGGAGATTTATAGAAGGATATAAATGACTGCTTAATTATTTGTTTTATGTTCACAATAATTGAACTTGATCTTAAGCCTAACCTATATATTTCAACATAAAGGAACTTAAGCAGAACACATTCTCAAATAAATTAAAAACTTTAAAATGAAAGAAGAAAAATTTAAATTTACTAATGTTAGTAGAAGTATTAGTATTATTACTTGAAGGCACACATAAGTGTGGAAAATGTTTTATTAAAAGAAAGTAAGTATTTTAATTACAAAAATGAAAATAATATTCATCATTTTGACATTTCTATTAAAATAAATTTTAATATATTCTTTCTCTTGTTCTATCCTAATATATCAGATGAATCTGTTTTATTCCTGTTTAGGCTGGTTTAATTACTGAACTATTAAGTGTGATTATGCTGTAGATAGTAAGGAGGTTATTAATGTTTTTAAAGTATTCTTGAAGTAGTAGTAATAGTAATATTGGAAAGTCATGTTGAGGCAGGAGGGGGTATACAGGTAAACCCACCAGGGGTCTGCCAGGCTGAGAAGCCTTTAATACGCTGAAAACTATAACTTCATATTAGCTTGACATTTAGCTTTGCTGCACTTTACTTCAAACTTCCTCATAAGTATTACAAATATTACCTGAACATGTCACAAGCTACTGCAAAAGAATAGCACAGGAAATCAACATGGGTATAAGTTACTGAGAATAGCAAAGTTACAGAATAGCATCAGCATTTTACTTACTTGTTTTTAAGATTTTTGTATTCATTTCTGTTTTTGTACTTTTCCAAAATGTACTTCCCTGTCCTAAGCAGGGTCTTTGACGTTTTGTATGAATACGCCTCTTGTAACGCCTTCTGATTAACGAAGTTTGATTAAAGGTATAAAATCACTGCCCTGGGTGTAGCCCTGGCAGTTCAGATTTTGGTGTGTGAACACGCTGAACTCGATGCATCAATAAACCTGTTTCTCTTGCACCTTCATGGTCTCGAGTCCTGCTCTTTTGTAATAGCAATAGCAATAGCAATAGCAGTAGACTTATATACCGCTTCATAGGGCTTTCAGCCCTCTCTAAGC